CCCAGGACCCCTCTAAACCTCCCCAGGACCCCCCCAAACCCCTCCAGCCCCCACTCACAGCTCTCCCAGGCCGTGCCCAGGTGCAGATGAGCCCCTCCTGGCAGGCAGTGACGATACAATCCTCCAGGAAGAGCAGCACCGTCAGCCTCTCGTGAGCGATCTTCTTACAGACCAGCGGCTCCAGCAGCGGCACCTCGTGAATCCGGGGACACAACGAGGTCCCCAAGACCTTGGTGGCATCCAAACCTCCTCCTGAAGCATCACCAGTGTCAGCAGTAAGAGCAGGAAGGATTTTCTCCCCGTTTCTTGTGATGTGAGTTAAACTGTGATAACGTTTGTGGTGTTTTTGGGTGGTTTCTGGTGGTTTTGGAAGAGTTAAAGGAGGGAAATGAGGGAGAGGTGGAGGGATATCAGGGGTTAAAATAGTCCCAGTGGGTTGGGGGAGGCTGTTGGAACGGGAAAGGGACCGGGGTAAAGGGGAAAAGGGAAGGTTGGGAGGTTCAAGAAGTGGTTGAGGGTGAGAAATGGAGGGTTGAGGGTAAAGAACATCCTCAGTTAAATCCCACAAACAAAAGTGAGTGTCTTGACCGGCCGAACCGAAGCGATAAGTGACACCAGGGGGTTGAGAAGTGATGGGATCCACCTTGGTGGCTTCTTCTTCATCATCATCATCATCATGGTGATGATCATCATGATTTAACTCTGAAGCTGGATTAAAAGATGTAAAAGGATCAAAAGCCACAGCGTTCACCCAAGATTTATGACCGTGACCGCGTGCCACCACCCTCCCTTCTAGGAAGGACCAGACAGTCACTAAATCATCTTCTCCACCTGTCACCACGTAACGACCATCTGGGCTCCAACAAACACAGAGTAACCCCCCAAAATAACTCCTCATCATCCCTTGGAGAACCATGGAGTGGAAGTGAAAGACACGGAGACACCCATCCTGGCTGACACAGGCCAAGAAGGAACCGTCGGGGGAGAAGGCAAATTCATTGAGAGCTCCTTGTCCCACCACCCATTTGAGGAGGGGGTTCCTGGGGGGTTTGGTTTTCTTAGAGGAGAAGACACTGAAACCATCTCCACGTGTTAAGAGGTTGTACTGGGGGGTGGTGACACCGCAGGGGACAGAGGTGTCGTACAGGTAAAGGCGACCGCTGGAGTGAGAGGCCAAGAAGAGATGTTCCGTCTCCGGGAGCCACTTGACGAAGGTCACTTTGGTTTTGTCGATTAAACGCTGAGGGGAGAGGGAAAGAAAGGGTTAAAGGGGGGTAGGGGGTCAGCTGGGATGGTTGGGGACATTTGGGGACACGAAGGTCACTTTGGTTTTGTCGATTAAACGCTGAGGGGAGAGGGAAAGAAAGGGTTAAAGGGGGGTAGGGGGTCAGCTGGGATGGTTGGGGACATTTGGGGACATTTGGGGACACGAGGGTTGAGGAGGCACGAAGGCTGAGATGCATTTGGGGACACGA